ATCACTGGAATTTTTAATTACAATAAGTTGAAGCTGTTCAATTACATAGGTTTCATTCTACATCTTTCGAAACTCGTTTCCCTTTGCGTATAGTGATGTTGAATGAAATATCCAAGTTTCTCTCCTCGATTATTTTTGCACACGTCGTCAACATATGGGACAAATCGTCGACCGTTTCACTTTCGTTGGCAGTGCCACTTGATTCACCTTGCAATGAATACTCTTTATACGGCTGAGCGTTAGAAAACTTGAAAAGCCTACAGTTGAGGGTACAACTATGGAACAACAACTCTTTATTGTCCGAATTCTTTTCTACCTCCAACCACCTAACGAAGCCCTCGCCACAGTTTGGGCATTTCATCTTTTTTGGACATTCTGGCAACATGTGTCTTGCCATCCTACAAGAATGACATAATCCCCTGTTCTAGCCACCCATAGAACAATCCTAATCCAATAAAAAAAATTAATCACTTGTTCATAAATTACATATTACATATACCCTAAACCTAAGTAAGCCAAATTACACCTAATAACTCCGAAGTTGTTGCACCAACACAAAAATTGCAGCTATGTTTTTGGGATAAATTGTGAAACTTTCGTGAAAATTTCTACTGTGGTGAAAATTTTTGTTCTTTCTCGTAAATTTGGCTAGAAACATAGCTGCAATTTTTGTGAAAATTCTGCTTGTGAAAATTTCTTAGTGAAAACATGAAAATAATACCTACCACTCCATAGCTCCAAAAAGAAGTGAAAATAATACCAAAAAAGTGAAAACAATACCAAAAATGGGTATAAAAATTGTTTCAAATCTCAACCTGAAGTAGCTCTTCACCGCTGAAGATTTGAAAAATTGTGATACCGTCGTCTTCCCCATTCTCCTCATCGTCGGCTACTTGATGAAACTCTTCGTCCCTAATACAAATCGAGGGTTGCAGAGAGGGACTTCGTTCCCTTTTTAGAGAGACGGAGAGTCTGAAAGAGAGAGGAATTGTGAAATTTCTTGTGAAATGTGAAATGAACCCTACCCATATAGACACACACACAGAGAGAGAGAGAGAGAGAGAGAGAGAGGAAAGAGAGAGAAATTGTCATTTTCTTGTGAAATGAACCCTACCCCAATAGAAGATATTTTGACCACACTACACATTTTTTTGAATTCAAATTTATCGCCAAGTCAGCATTATGTACAAGATTCGGGATTTCATTGCGTACATTTAGAATTTTCCATGCATAATTATAGTAGTTGTTCTGATACCATGTTGAACCACAAATTATAAATTATAAATTTTAGAATATTATTGCCAAGGACATTAGGTTTCACTTTCTTCTTCTGATCATGAAGAGCATTTTCACCGTTCCAGTAACTTTTACATCATGAAACGCTTCAACTGTTGTAGCACAGCTCGACCTTACCGCATAAACTTGAGAAACTAATTATGGATATGAGAGCAAAGAGGGAAATGAGGAAGGCGGAAATATACGAGGCTTAAAAGAGGAGTAGCTAAATGAATGTGTTGTAAATTTATTCATATTCATTAAAAATGAGATTTATCCTTAATATACACTGCACCAAATCACCTAATGTATAAAAATAATGAGCTCGAATATATATGTCCACCCATGCCTCTAGTTGACCTAGGTAGAAGTTATTCTTCATAAGCTTAATTTTAAAAGGTTGGAAATTTCAATAGACAAAGAGAGTGAATGGGAATTAGATCAACGGTCCATTTTGTTAATTAGCAATTGTAATTGACAAACTACTATATTCTAAAAAGTTACTTAAAATTAATCTACATCGTTTTCAAATCTTATCGAAATCTAGATGCATGCAAGAAAATAAGACCAAATTGTGACTTACTGAAGCGTAGAAAATAAAATAAAAGGAAATGAAATGGGGCAATTATTTGAATATAAATCTTTTAAGGCAAATTTCACCCCTGTACTGGAGCAAATAGGGTCAAATAGACATTTCTTCCAAAATTAATATAGCACAATATTAATTTTGTTGAATGAACCAACATGTTGATAGTATTTTTCATGAATGAAATAGATATTAACTAAAATATCTTGTATTGAATTTTTTTTTCTTTTTTGAAAATAATTTGAACAGAACTTAATTTGAGCAAAATAAGAACAGAATATTTTGAAGAGATGGGAGTATCTTAAAAATGAAATTTCTTTGAATTGATTTGATGTGGGAAATTTGTAATTAGGGGTCCCTATTTATGGGTTTTCAAGTTGTATTAATATGGATCATTAGATCATACATTTTCATATTTAATGGTCTAGCTTGCACCCTATTGAAAGGTCGTGAATTTTTATGATGTACATTTTCAAAGAGTTGCACCCAATTTGAAAGAACATGACTCTTTGATATGAACAATTTTCATTTGAAGAGTCGCGACTAGTTATCGCACCAATTGGAGATTTTTCAAATTCATACCTATAAAATTATCTCATAAATTTCAACAATTCCTCATATGAATGGAAGAAGTTGACTCAGAATAAGGAAGATGAAGAAGAATACTATTGAAATATAATACATCAGGATCTGTAGTTTTCACTTTAAACCATTTAGTAAGAATCTACTGGACTCACTTGGTTAATCACTAAATGCAATATTTTGAACTGTCAGCCATTGTTGTAAGTCTGGACAATAGATCTAACACATTATGTCTCATATCAAACTTTGATTCTCTATTGTTTTCATTATTTTTGCTCTCGACTCTCTTGAGTTCTGCAAGTGTGTTAGAGAATTCTCCTTGGTAAAATTCTCAATTGAACTGACCAAGTTTGCACTGATGTTCTATGAAGAGCACCCTATGATACTTATAATGTTTAATAGATATGGTCATCATTAAAAGTAGTATAGCTTATCCTATACAATCTTTTACAGGTAGCACTTATTTGCATCATTGAAATGGAAATGATTTAAAACTGTGAATTGCTTCTCGTTGAGGCAATTAAAATTAGTTTTCTTATTGAACCCAGTCCGTGAGATCTCAAATTGCATGTTAGGTTTTCATTAAGATGGTTCATTAATTTAGACTTTAAACCAATTTCCCTCGATATGCAGTCTACTATCTCTCTAGTTAACTCTGTTATAAACTAGAAAGTTCATATAAAATAAATCTATCTTAAATATTGTCGAAATAATTAGTGCATAAATTATATTCGACAACTAACCTTTTATGTTCAAAATATCGTATAAAGTTTCAACTTATCGAAACCAAGATACATGCATGAACATACAATCAAATGGGGACTTGTAGAAACGTAGAAAATAAAAGGAGATGAAATGTAGCAATCTACATAAGTACAAATCTCTTTATGACAGTTTTGTACCCTACACTAGTGCTAATAAGGTTAAATGGATGTCTATCTTCCAAGATATTGTATTTCTTTCAAAATTGATATAGCACAGTATTAATTTTACCGGGAGAATCAAAGTGTTGATGATATACTTCATGAACGGAATAGACACAAACTAAAATTGTCGGACGAAATTTTTTTTCCACAAATAATTCGAATGGAATTTAATTTAAGCAAAATAAAAATATCAGAATGTTTTGAAGAGAGAATAGAATTTTAGAAATGATTATTTCTTGAATTGATTAGGTGTAGGAAATTTGACATTAGGCCCCTATTTATAGATTTTTCAAGTGGCTTTTTGGAATGGTTGCATCTTTTTACATAAATTAATATGGATCATTAGATCACACATTTTTAAATTTAATGGTCTAACTTACATCCTATCGAAAGGTCATGACCTTTTATAATGTACATTTTTGAGTGGTCACACCCAATCTGAAATAATATGACTCCTTGACATAAACCATTTCCATTTGATGAGTCACGACTAATCATCACACCAATTCAAGGGTTTTCCAATTCACACCCATAAAAATTATCCCATAAATTCCAAATGGTTCTGCACAAGCTAGCCTGACAATTCAGAGATGGAATGAAGGACTCTTTGGCCATCAGCCAGCACATTAACTTAGAGTAATGCCACCACATTGAAATTTAGCCCCTATTTGGTGCCCATTATTTATAAAGAGAGAGAGAGAGAGAGAGAGAGAGAGAGAGAGAGATTTGAATAGTATTTTCAGGAGAATGTATAGTTAAAAATATGGAAAATTTACGTACAAAATATTTTAGGCCCCATTTGGTAGCCATTTTTTTTCAAAATGCATTTCTCTCTCTATTCTTTTTAACCACACATTCTTTATTAAAATAATATTACACACAAATAAAAAACTCTCTTATTTTTCAATAACATATTTCACATCAATTTATTATTCTAAAATACATTTTTACATAAAAATGTCTATCAAACACTCCCTTATTGTGTAAATACGTAATTGAAAATAATTCTTTAGCAAAAAGAGTTTTAAAACAATTATTTTTGCTACAAAATTTCTATTTAAGTGACTATATTTTTTTGTTGCGATTTCGATATTTTTTTTTTGTAGTGTTGAGAGTTGAGTCCCATCAAGCCATCGTAATTTTTATTGCTTTTGTCTGTACTAGATTGTTTGTTATATCATTTAATTTGATTCAATCAAGAAAATAGTTTGGGACAATGAAGATACATAGTGACATGCAGGGGCGAAGCCATATTGAGACGAGTGCGGGCATAACACTGAAATTTTAGGCCCAAAACTTTTTTTTTTTTAAGCAATAGGGGAGGTGGAATAAAACATATGTTTTAATTTACATTGATTTTATTTTTCGATCCAAACCCATGATTTTGTTTTATAGTTTTATCATCATTAAATTTTTGACCAAAACTCAATGTTCGACATGGGTTAAATTATGCCCGCACTAAACAAATTTCCTGACTCCGCCCCTGGTCACATGGTGCTGCATGAAGTTTAGTAATTCAAAACTTGTTATCGTTTGTAGATTTTTAGAATTTATTCAAGAAGAATATCATTTTCTATGTTGTATCACAATGAACAATTATTTTTTTATTTATTACTATTATTTTTTTATTGGATTCCAGATTCAATCCTGCTTTATTATACCCTTGAAAGATGAGAAAAGATTTTATCCTGCATTACTATACTCAAAATTTGTTTTAAGAATAAGGATTTGAGATAAACTTGAAATAGTGTTACCTCATGGTTCTCCATTGTGTTTTTTCTACTGTAAACAATTAAAGGCAAACAAGCTTTTGGTGTGGACTTCCTGTGATATAAATTAAACAGTTTAAGAGAGTAAGGAGAGTGATTGACCCAAGTACGATTAATATATATATATTTTTTTTGGCCTATTTGTACAAAAATTTGTGCCATTTTTCACTTACAAGAGCTTCCATGCTTTCCCTCCATTCATATTGAATTTTTTCAGTCTCCCAGAAAACATGACAAGAATGAGAATTATTTTTCCCTCGTCGCTCCATTTTCCGGAGAATCCGTACCATTTGTTCGTACAATTTGCTTGAGGCCGTAGTTGACGCTCACAACTATAGCCAGTCGTGAAGCCCACATTTCCATGAGCGCTGCAATTTTTTTGCAAAATCAAAAGTTAATAAAGAATAAAATTAACATAAAATTTTGCAGCTTCCATCATTATCGATTTTCATTACAAATATAAAAATGGACCATATTAGATTTTAGTTTCTCTTCCTTAATTTTTTATTATTATTTATATACTGTTATTACTCCTGTCTTCAGTTATTATAAACTGTTTATAATTACCCAAACCACTCTTCACCAGACATTTCAAGTGACTCACAAGAACTTCCCATTTATCCAACACTTCCCAAACATGCTTGTCTATTAAGACTAGAAAATGAAGAAAATCTACTACCCTTGATTGTGCAGAGGAGCCCTAAGAGGCAGCAATCTTATGGCAATGATAAAGTGCTTCCCGCCAGATCCTGTGCTGGACCTGAATAACTTAAATCTCCTTATTTGAATTTAATCATTTATTACAATTAAGGAGTTATTTTTAAGCAAGACAAATTATTGGAATATCTGGCCTTAGTTTGACCAATTTATAAATCAATCTATAAATAATATTAGTAGTGGATCTCACGAAATGTATGGATAATAAATAAGTAGTAGTAATGAATGTGTGGTAAAAATGAATATTTGGCTTTTGATTAATGTATAACCCAATTAAAAATTGATTACCGACCATTATATATGAAATAACAAATATTTCTCTTGAGAAAATGACTTTTCTCTCAACTATTGGTGTCATGTCAATAATGGAAAGTCGACTGGCAAGCCAACAAATTGAGCAATTTAATTTGGTACTCTGGTAGGTTAAATATAATCATGGTGGTTGTGCTTATTAATTTTCTTGCCCTTGTAATCATTAGATATTCCAGAGTCTGTAAATAATGGTCGAATTTGTGTTGGGAGAAAAAAATCCTATGATTAATGATAATCATGGTACAATTTAGAGAAACCAAGAAGTAAAATTTTACCTTACAACTTCAATTACGATATTGAGCACACTGAAGTTGATGGAATCCTCTTTGATGCTCTTTCTTTCAGTAATACATATTAGAATAATTGAGATGACAAGATAAGAAAGCTGTGAAAATACGAGACTTTTAGCAATCCATTTTCTTCTTCTCTTTGCCCCTTCACAGTCAAGAGTGCTTTGTTCATCCCCCTTAACTGGTAGAAATGATGTATATGGTGGAAGGTACCTGTCAATAATTTCACCACGATTACTTCAATACTTCTATATGCTCATTGTAATAACATGTTTTTTGAGTTTATTCTATACTGTTGTTATCCTAGTTGTACAACTTGTCATGCATTTTTAGTATTACTAGTACTAAATGTGACGTGATGAATTTTAGATTATATACATTCCTTAATACTTCTCTAACAAACATGCTAATTATTATTAGATTTTGTGTTGGCTATTCTTTGATCAAAAGGCAATTTGTAATCATTGAAGAGTTTGGGATCAATTTGTCAATATTCAAAAGTTTGGGTCTGTTGTAGAAGTTTTACTAGCTGCTCGCCAAATGATCGCTCGAGCGTCAAAAGTAGAGATCCCCTCGCTAGCTTTTCGCCACTACTTCGCTCACTTTTTTCTCTAGCGATAGTGCCACCTGGAGAGCCCTATTTTGTAATTTTCGAGATTTTAACCTGGCCCGCTACCCAAAACATCCCATATAAATACCAATGCGCCGTTTTCATACGTTTTTTGGGCTAGAGATTGAACTTGGTGAAAACCTTCTACACTTTGATCTATTCATTCAATCCCACATACTGCTGGTGCACTCACACAAAAATATCAAATCCACTACATCAAACACCAAAATTTGTCCTTCCAGAGCATATGTTGAGATTTGAAGATCAGGAAAGGAGACTGAAATTCCGATCAGTTGAGAACGGATAGTTCTTAGGAATCTACAGAAGATAGATGAAATCAAGAGCCAAGAATTGGTGTAGGAGCACACAATCCAGGAGGGCTTTGGAAAATTCAGTCAGAAGGTCAGAAAAACTTGTGTTAGTTGTATCTGGCGGATTGTAAATTGAATTTTCGTTTATAGTGAATTCTTACGGGCTTGGACACGGAGTTTTTTATCCCGCAAGGGGTTTTCTCCGTCACCAAATAATTGTGTTATTTATTTTTTCTGCAATTTACTTATATTCAGCAGTTCAACATAGGATAGTAAAGTTGTAAAATGATTTAGACAAATGAATAATTATGACTCGTTGCATTTATTAATTAATTAATGAAAAATTCCGCATGAACATCTATTCACCTCCCATCTAGGTGTTATTTAGGTCAAACTACGTTATTTCAATTATGTCTGTTGAACATGTAACACTGTACTGAGGGCCCATTTCGCACAACTTAGAAAAAGTCAAAAGTTACTTACAAAACAAAAAAATTGCTTTTCGACTCGTTTGTATAATTTTTGGAACTACTTATTTTTGTTATAAGAGTTTTTGAAGAAATCTAACTAATAAGGTTTTCTTAGGAAATAATTCTCTAAAAGGGGCCTTAAATATGCCAAAACTTGTGTCATTTGACCTCAATTTAATCTTGAAACTCCGAAAATATTGTCCTATTAGCAAGCCAGTTGCAAGGTAACGAGTTTTGAAGCATACAATTTAGATTTGTATCCATATTCTAACGCAAAGCAAACATTAAAATATGTAGTCAGTGTCAACTTGGAAACCAAAAAAAAATAGGAACCTCTGACAACCATTTATTTGGAAGAATGAGTTTTTGAATAGTAATTTTTTTTAAAAAATGTGTGGTTAAAAAGTAAGCAAAAAGTTTTGATTTATGTGAGAAGCATTATATTGGAAGAATGTATAGTTAAAAAGGAGTACGATTAAAAAAAAAGAGGAGTTTTAAAAGAATGGTTATCAAATAGGGGCAAAATGATAGCCTTCTGTGGTTGTGTTAGAGATACTCTCATCATATCTAATAATTTACTTTCTCAAACCCAAGAAAGCAATGGACTCAATTATTATCAAACTGACTACAATATATTGTTAGAGATTTGGCAATTCATAACATGACCCTGCTTAGAAACTGTTTTTAGAAAATTCTGATACTATACAAGCTTTTTCAGCTCGGTTCGAGTTTAAAATCAGTTTCTGGTGTATTCAGGAATAAAGTAGATGAAATTATTTATACTACAGACTGGAGTGGTTGTTGAAAGAAGAATTCATGTCAATTAACAATTTCTTAGATCTTGTATGGTTCTTTCCTTTGCTAAAGTCGACTTTATATGTATTGCATCTTTAAGTAACTATCAACCACCCAGTTTCATGCATGAACATGGCCTTAGCTACATAATTTTGTATTTGTTCATCTGTTGCACCTATTGTATGTTTTACTTGTCATCATGTTATAGAACTCATAAAATGTTTGAGAAAGAGAGAGAGAGACTAACATCATTACAACGAAGAACACCAAGATGGCTGGTGCAATTGTAGAGAGATCGACAATAGTTTCACCGCTATGCCTTGCATTAACCGTTTCAAATAGAATGCCAACGACTTTTTGATAAGTATTGAGTCCACCCAAGCCTTCTGAATTCCACTCCAGAAAGCAGAATAGTACGAACCCTGTGAGAATAAACCCGAGCACCGTGGCTACTAGGAACGATGAATGTAGGCTAGGAAGCAAGTGGAGGTACCCAACTTTTGTTGTATTCTTCAACAGGTATTTGGCCTCGGCCTTTTTGATTTTCTTTCCCAAAACCCATATCAAAAATCTAAAACACGATGGAAATAATGTGTTCCCAAGAAGGACTTGGGGAATAAGAATCCATAAAAGCCCTGAATTCTTGCTAAAAACTATCATGTTTTCATTTGTGGGCACAAAACCACAACTAGCAAAGGTTGAAACTATTGTGAAGACAGAAAAAGTTAGTGCCTTAATACCCTTGTTTCTTAGTACATCTTTTGCACTTGAAAAAAGGGCTAGATAAACTAAAACAGATGCGACACCTAATAATTGAATTACTAGAAAATAGCCTAAAACTACAAAGCTCAAAAATTTGATTGAATTGTAGTGGAGAATCGCGTTACAATATGGTGATGAGACATCATTTTGAGTCTCAAACCACGGTGCTTTATAGTTGGGGACTGGCTCTATAGTCAACTGAATTTGATCAACAGAAGTACCTTTTTCTTCGGTGTTCCATGTAATAATCTTGGACCTCTTTAAGTGAAGTCCAACCATGGAAGTGAAAATTTCACCCCCTATGAACATCAAGATGGTCATAACAATTAATTGCGCGTTAGAGAAAACCTCCATTTCGACTGTGGACATGCTTGAGACCGTGGTAGCAGACACAGAAGTGAAAAACAAGTCTATGTTCCTAGGCCTGAACTCGGTTTTCGGCTTTAAAAACTTAAGAACCCAAAATCCTGTAATGGATAGGAAGACGAAATAAAAAACCTGGATCCAAAATGGGTTGATAACGAAACATGTTGATTGCCAAAAAAAGGTAGAAAGATATTGCAATTTCTTTCCATAACATGAAAATTTGTACATCTTCAACTTATGGGGAAAAATATTGTTCTCTTTGATTATAAAGAAACTTAGAAACGGGGTGGTTTATATAAGAAGTGTTTAAAAGCCATGGAACTATCGTTATCTTTGTGTTTTGTGGCTGGGGAACATGATGTGAAATTCTCTTCATCAAATATAGTAACAATAGAAATGTTTGTCTTAAATTACCACTGCGTACGTTGTGAAAATCGAGGTGGAATCTCCTGTCACAATCATGGCATCTCCACTTGTGGATCAAAAGATCTGGGACCCCGACGCTACACTAGCAGAAAAAAGTGGGATTTGTACCCTAGCCACTATGTTAGAATTAGAGTGTGAATCGAATTCTATTTGGAATGTTATTTAGAATCCTATCCGAAATTTATGTGTTGAATTCTAGTTAAAATTTTATTTGAAAGCTCAGCTGGAAGTTTAAATTTGTGTTGAACTTGAAGAGATCAAGATATGGACCAAAGGAGACTTTTGGCACAATTATGCTCGCTTGGTGTTGACTGGAGCTCGAGCATTGAAAGCAATGAAGCTGGCGCCCATCTGGTCCTATCTCGATGCTTGAGTGGTGGTGCGGAGCCCGTCTAGTACTTGAGCACCATATTCATCTGGCCCATGCCTCTTTTCATGTTTTGACGCATTTTAAGCATTCCTTTCTATCTATAATTCTACTTGTATGATTTGAAGTATCCCCAATATATATTTAGCTCTTCATTGTTTTTAAGATTAAGTTAAAAAAAAGTTGTAAACACAAAATCTTTAGAAAAAGTTGTAAACACAAAATTTTTGTATTATTTCTCCATATTTTAGCATAACTCCTTTAGTCCGCAAATTATATTGTTCTTGAGCTTTTGTGATCAATTACTTCAAATTATGCCTAAAATCTCATATTTTCTTCAAAAAATTGGTATCAAAGTCTAGTTCAGGATCTTATTTGAAGAATACATCTTAGTTAAGTTTAGAAGTTATGGGTAATGCTGCTTTGATCATATGCCTCTATATAGGTACAATGTTGCTGATTTAGTTGATAATAGTTTGAATATGGTTAAGGGTATTGATTCGAGTCAAGATTCTTCTTTTGATGCATTCAGTTGTGGTGATTCTATTTCATTGTTTGTTTTTGCTCTAATTGGGTTGCAAAGTTTCAAAGAATATTTCCAATTGAAAATTCTAATGGAATATTTCATTTGTGTTTTTGTTGAAGAGATGAAATTTATTCATTGTAGTGGAATTTTGTCTTCAAGAGGAAAATCTTTGAAGTTTTGTTTATTGTAGTGGAATTCGTGTTAAGATTGAGTTTGATAGAATTAAGATATGACCCGAATTCATTTGGAATGTTATTTCGAATCCTATTCAAAGTCTATTTAACAAAATTCTAGTTGAAGTTTTATTTGAAAGTTCAATTGGGAGTTGGAATTTATTTTAGACTTGAAGATATCAACATATTGACCATGGAGGATTTTTTGACGCAATTATGCTCGCCTGGCGCTCAACTGGAGCTCGAGCAACCAAAGCAGTGAACTTAGTGCCAACCTGAATCTCAAGCGTTGGGGCTACTCCCGCTTGGCTCTCGAGCGCCATATTCATGTAGCTCAGGTCCGTTTTCGCATTTTGACGTGTTTTGAGTATTCATTTCTTTCTATAATTCTACTCCTAGGGTTTGTGACATTTCCTATATATATATATATATTAAGCTCTTCATTGTATTTTATATTAATTTAGACAAAGTTGTAAATACAAAATCTGTGTTCTTTCTTCATATTTTAGTGGAATCTCCTTTACTCTACAAATTATATTGTTCTTGAACGTTTGTTTCTTGTTGATGATAACATATAATTCAAGTAAAGCTTTAGCTCAACATCCCCACCCCACCCCACCCCAACCGAAAAAAAAAGGGAGTCATGATAATATATGCTATGAAGTTCTCAAATATTTGATCAAAAAGTTTCGAATATTAGGCTTTTTTTGGGAGTCTCTAGAACATTTTCTAGAGTTTCTAAAGAATTTTAATTTTAAAAACGTGTTCAAAACAGAAAAGTGCATTTTACAAGTTTACTTGCAAATTAACATTTCTTACTATGTTAAATGTAAAGTAAATTATTCCGAACCCCTGTTTGAGCCACATTATTTTCCTAGGAATGCATTTTTGAATAGTATATTGATGGGAAATGTGTAGTTAAAAAATAAAGAAATGTTTTGAATTTGCGTGTAATATTATTTTATTGAAAAATGTGTGGTTGAAATGATGTCAAATCACTATTTAAAAAAATATATATTTTTTTTAAAAATGTGGCTCAAACATAGCCGAATTTGGAATATCGTTCTTTATAAGATAATTTTATATTTTAAAGAAATAGTGGGTTCGGGGTTCGAAATTCTGTCAAATGTGGAGCAATATTAACGGAGATATCAAGAATTTTTGTGGCCTACCAACCACCGCGATTAAGAATCAGTTCCATTTCATGTCTTTTGGCGTGTGTTTGTGGAATATTACAAATCCGTCCATAATTGTTTTGTGGTCCAAAAAATTTGGCAATACATAGAATTTGTGGTCTACTTTAGTTCATTTTTCATATCAAATTATTTTCCTGTTTTTCAATCATGCTTATCTAGGAAAGAAATTGCAATATTCTAATTCAATTCAATTATCCAATCATCATTATGTCACCAATGAGAGTTTAACAGATTTTCAGGTTCACTCCTTGGACTTTTTTATTGATATACGAATACAATTCATTTTTTAATCATTTGATCCAAAAGTTTAAGTTGTTGGAGAATGTTCGACATATATATTTTTAAATAGTGTCTTAAAATATGTCCCTCATCCATTTTCCATTAAAGTCTGGATCAAGCACAATTTTAGCTGTTACTTTGATACTATTTTGAACCACAATTGTTGATTCTTAAATTTTCGAATACTATTTCGAGGCTGTTGGATTTCATTTTCTTCTTCCAATGAAGAAGAGCATTATTCACACTTTCAACAACTTTTTCACTATCAAATGCTTCCATTGTTGTAGCACAGCCCAGCATTACCCACGTCAACTTGAGAAAGCAATGGCAGAAAGGAGAGGAAAGTGAGAAATGAGGAAGCGGAGAAAACAAAGCCTGTTGAGATTTAGAGATCCATCTTAAAAGTACTGTTTGTTAGGAAGAGTAACTTATACCCTAATACATTGTTATTTATTTCATATTTATAAATCGAATTTTACCATTAACATATATGCTACACCGAGTCACCTTATGTATACATGTATGAAGTCAAGTAAGCTTAGTTTGAACATGCTGGTCAGTTCAATAGGCAAAGAAAATGAACGGGAAGATCCAGAGTCCGTTGTATTAATTAGCAATTGTTGTAAGATGGTTCCCACCAAAGTAAGCCTTTATTTGATTCTCATTATTTTTAAAATACATTTTTCTTTTTCTTCTTTTCAACCACATATTTTACAATAAAATAATATTACATGTAAATTCAAAATTATTTCTTATTTTTTAATCATACATTCTCATTTAATCTACAATTCCAAAATTCATTCTTGAATAAAAATGGGGCTCAAAAAGGTAGTAAATATTGACGGTGCTAGAGCTGGAAATCCAAGTCCGGCGGGTTGTGGTGGTTTGCTTCGGGATTGGTAGGGTAAGGTAATTTTTGGATTCTATTATTATCTTGGGTTGGTACTAACACTTTAGCGAAGGTATCAGCTCTTAAGATAGGCCTTCAAATATGCTAATGTCCTTGGCGTAGAGAGGATTGGTATAGAAACGTATTCCAATGTGGTGGTTCATTAGTTTCATCATCATGTCACCATTCCTTGGTCGTTTTGGCTGATTTGGGATGATATTTTAGTGCTTGCTCAGATTATATCTATTGATATATCACATGTTTATAGCGAAGCGAACCAGGTGGCCGATTCTTTACTGCTTCTTGGTTCTCAAGGTCGCTCAGATTACTTAGAATCAATTTCTAGTTTCCCTATCTCTACAATTGGCTGTATTCATTTAGATAAATGTAATTTGCCTTCTATTCGTTTTGCGTAATTGATTGCTCAGATCACTTGGAATCAACTTCTAGTTACCAATAAAGCTCGAAGGTTCTGCCAAAAAAAAAAAAAAAATTGAATAAGTAGCTTACATCTTTTTTAAACCTTAGCAAACAAACCACTTCCTTCCTGATATTGTAAATATTCAATATTTTCTAGGAAATCATGGCCAATTTGATATTAGTAGATTTGATTTGTGGAAAGCCACATTTACTTTCTTGTGTACTGAAGAAGGTTGAGGATCGAGAAGGCAGCAGCATTAGACGGGTGGGTTGGTGGTTTACGATGGAATCGGCGTAGTGTGCTGTTGAGAGATGGTTTTTTTTTTTTTTTTTTTTTTTTTTTTTTGGCTCCTTCTTTAAGTTATTAAGGGGCATTTTTTAGAATATCCAATTTTAAGTGTATGAGTTGAAAAGTGTCCACTCATTTGAATTTAGTGCCAACTTGTTTATTATGCCCTTAATGAAAAGCTACATTTTGAAGTGATATTCTCGATATTTTAAATGTCGTTCTCGACATTTGATTTTTTTTATCAATTTGTCACGAATTTTGAGAAGTGGCTTCCATGAGAAGCTACATTAAAATAATGTTTCTCGACATTTCATATGTCATTCTCGACTTTTGAACACCGTTTCATTTATCTAGAATGACATTTCATTTTGAATATGACATTTCTCTACATTTAAAAATATTGTTCTCGACATTTCTGAATCAATGAAAAACATAGCATTTATTGTGATTTGACTTGTATACTTTTTTAACTAAATATGACAGGTTATGTGTCAAAATTTTATTGGTCAATAACAATATTGTAAAAATGTCCATTTTTTTGTCTTAGTGTGGAATTATAAATTGTTAATAAGGGTATTTTGGTATAAATTCTTCCAAATTAGACATTTTTACAAATGACTAGATAAAAATGGACATTTTTGTGAAATTTCCTCTTGTTTTTTTTTTTTTATTCATTCAGTCACCTAAGATCAAGAATGTCAACAATGGAAAATGGTG